ATGGTTCGCGCTACGATGTTTGGAGAAAGCGTGCCGTTGCGCCAGGTGTGAGTCGAGACAAAGATCCGGATATGCCGCTTGTTGAAGCGCGCCCAGCCCACGACAGCTTCCATGTTGAGGCCCAGCGGGTGCGGTTCAGTGGCGTTATAGCACGCAAACCATCGTGGAAGGTGATTTGGGAGCGTCCTACAATGTTTTCGTTGAGCAAGTCGAGGTCTTGCTGCGTCTGGCGCCCGTTACGAACTCGATCCAGGAGTGCGCGAAGTTGGGGATCGTTGCGTGCCCGGAGTTGGTCTTCGAGGAGCACAACGGTTTTGAACAGATGCCACAATCTGCAGCCGCTGTGGTGAGAGATGGTCGCTTGTCGCAGGGGGGTCTGTGTTCGGTCCGGCGGTCTGTTGATCAGGAGGCTTGTTTCCCGCACGGGGGCGAACTGGTAGAAGTCTCCCATCAGTAGAACGACAGGCATCCCACCAAACGGCTCGTCTGGACAGTCACGGAGTGCCTGCAGGTGGCGACTGACGTTGTGCAGAGTGGCTCCTCCCAGCATACTGACCTCGTCAATCACGAGTACCAGCTTCTGTTTCCATTGTTGACTTGATATGAGACATGGACCAAGACATGTTTAGGCAGCAGTTACAAGTGGTGAGTCACTGGATAGTGGCACGGACGTGCCACTATGTATATATGTATGTTGAGAGCTGTCAGACAGAATTGAATAGAAGTAAGTTCAATCGCAACATCCATATCCATTTCTTCGCCTCCGAAAAGGGGGGAGGCGGCTTGTTTGGATCGCGATGGGAATCTAACCCACAGGCCGAGTGGATCGTCGTGCCGCCAATCTGGGCCGCCGAACTGCCCGATGTGCCGGTTATCTGCAGAAGATGTGGTTGGTTCCTCGCCGCGAACACGTCCTTTAGGGCATCGATAATCCTCGACTTTCCTGTGCCACCCGGCCCGCCGGTATATTGAAGATGTTGACCGGCTGAGTCCTGATGAGCGGTATACCTGTCCAAAAATGCGCAAACAAGTTGAAGGGCCACGGTTTGTAGATAGTTCAGTGTGAAGGTGGCTGCAGCGGTGTGTCCCATCTCCGCGAAGCTAGTCACCGGACTGACGTCGACAAGCATTCGAGGCCCTTGTTGATTGAGGTCACTTCCCGGGTGCGCAATGGTGGTTTCCGTATCGCCGTAGCGAGCTCAGTGATCGGAATGGTCCGGTATGGTATGGTATGACCTCTATACCATACCATACCACCTGCTGATATCCTTACCGGTATGGCTTACCGGTAATACCAGTAATACCGCCAAGACCGCTCAGAATGAGGCGGGTTGCAAAAATAGGAAATGTATTGGCTACTAGCTGTCAACTTGATCGCTTATTCGCTTTCATTCTCGCTATCCCCGCTATCTTCGCTATCCTCAGCCCGAGGCTTCCCATACCAGGCACGTAGACACTCACAAGCCTCTATGATATCTGCCTTAAGCCTACCTCGACGATCAACTATACCAAGCTTTGCGCTACTAAACAGCCGTTCGCACTCATATGACATTGGGGAAACCGCAAATAGATCCAGAGCGAAGCGGGCGAGGTCTCTTTGCGAGTCATAACGGATAGCCAATAGGCGATGGCCTCATCGCAACCTGCCTCCTCGTCATGCAGCCGGTCGGTCGAAATATACTGCTCATACAGATCGGTGGCAGCAGCCGGGCCGTCTATGCGAATGCGCTTATGTTCCCTCTGCCGATCGAATGCTGGGTCTGGATCCTTGTCCTTCCTGACTGGAGGTGGTAGCGCCTCAACAGGGTACTTTCCTTATACTCTGTCTCCCAGAGCTGCTTCACCGCCAGCTGTGCGCTTTCATACCACTTCTGTCTTCCTTCGTCGCCCTGAAGAACCCATTCTTGCCTGAACCATGCCCACTTTCGATACGGATTGAGTACTTGAGCTGCGTAATACGCTGGCGGAAGATCAGTATCTTCAGGAAATCGATGTTGCCAATTCCGTTGTCGGTTGCTGTAATACTCCTCGCACTTTGACCACGCAGCATCTGCACAACCTTGGAGATACCTCCACGTGAAGTTGTCGTCGTCGTCTTCCTCGTGAATGTCATGGTAGTGATCCTTCTGTGAGGAACGATCATGTGACTTTCATACTTTATGAAATGTCTCACTTTGATTCATGTAAATAGCGAAAGTCAGAGTCTTCCTTAGGAACCTCCTTCTCTCTTCGTAGACAATCACTTTACCCAAGTCGCACCCGACCTTGTTCGTGCACTTGTACCGTCACACCTTCGTCTCGTTGATCTCGCGGAGAAGACAGTCCAAAGTCGAAAACCAGTCAGCGAGGATGTCTTGTTTCCTTCAGCAAGCATAGTTGCCGCGAAGAAGTCTTTTAGTGCGAGCTCGATCTTTTCAAGCTCGAACCAGTGCTGTCCATCTAGTTTGAAGTTCGAAATCCCTGAGACCCTCTCCTGGTACATGACGAGCTGAGAAGATTTCCAAACGTTCTCGAACATTTAACGCTCGTGTGATCGAATGAAACCACGAATTCCAGCGTGTGGAGTTGTTCTGGATAAGCTCGAGCCCATCGAATTCGGAGAGATGGCCGCCGATAATAATTGCTGCAAACTCCTCCCGCCTTTGAGGAGTAAGCCGGATGTACCGCACAAGGTTATGGAGCCGGCCTAAACATCCAAACTTCTTCCACAGCTCCTCTACCTTCACGTAATCTCCGCGCTGGTGGTGCTTTTCAAGCTTCGCCAAATGCTTCTCACAATTTCGACCCATGAGAAACGCCTGGCAGCAGAGGTTGACAATGTGACCCAAGCAGCGCAGTCGGCGATGGCGACGCTGTTGCGGCTTCATCCATGGGCAGAGCTCCTTGAGTATAAACTCAACAGCGGTATCATTGGATGAAGCATTGTCCAGCATGAAGTATCCAATCTGATCTCCGCCAATGTCATATTCCGTCAATAATTCGAGAACGGTCGACCCAAGATTCTCGCCACTGTGCTCGCCATGAACGCGTCGCATGCCCAGGACGGTACTTCGTCGCTTGCCGGTGGCGTCAATCCACATGGCGACGACACCCAGGATTGCGTACGGGTTTGGCGAGGTCCAGAGGTCGAAGGAGATGGAGATTCTACTCCGCGACCGCTGGAGGTCCTCTTTCAGCTGTTGCTTCTTCGACAGGAACGCATCCATAACCCAACCTCGAATTGTTTTCGCAGCCTTTGGGAGGTGATTAAGTAGAGCAGGGTTCAGAAAGAAGAGTAGCTCTCGGAAGTACTGGTTCTCCAACTGGAAGAAAGCAATATGGCAGTACACAACCCAACGAATCAAAAGCTCTTTGAACCTCTCAACGGTATCTTTCCAGAAAAAATTGCTACTAGCAGCTGCGCTTTTCTGTTGCTCCAATACAGACGCCCGTGTCGCACCGCGTTTCCTCACGCCGCTTTGTGGATCAATCTGGTGCCTCTGTTCGAGATGATTTCTCACTCCCGACGTGCCATTGATCACAAATAACTCTTGCTTATACTTTCCGATCGCACATTCGTGACAGTAGTATACCTCTTTCTTGTCACTGTCTCGGATGTAATGAAGACCGTACTTCCACACATGCGAACGAGCCGAGACGAGCTGCCTTCTTCGTCGTCGTCGCGCGACGCAGGTACGTGACATGGTCTTGTACGAATTCGTCCGGAGGCTCAGGATAACGGACAGAATTAGACGATGGCGTCGTAGCGGAAAAGTGTGGCGCGGGACACGATGCAGGAGATCTGGAGCGGATTGATGCTGAACTTGTCGTAAACGAAGATGGCGAGGTTGGCGCTGGAGATTCCATGATCATGACATACACCAGTTAAGGTATGGTCACTATGGTGGCTTTCGATCATTCGATCTTGGTCCATCGTCCAACTAGCCTAACGTAAAAATTTTCGGGCTCCAACATCACGGAAGTAATTCGATTGAAAGGATCATTTAAGCTTTCCTGTCCCTGAAAGGATCATTTAAGCTTTTCCTGTCCCTCCGACGACGCGATTGACAAGTCTGGCCAGTGATACGTTAGGTCATGCTCCGTCCTACATGGAAGAACTCATAAAACTGGGTGCAATGAGAAGTACTTTCTAATACGCACTAACACTAGCCTTACCTTCGTGCCTTCCTGGGATAGCTACCCGGCAGCAAAGACGAAAAGCATCCGTTCGGTGCCGGATCGACCTGACCAAGGTAGCCAGGTCGATAACTTATTGTGAGGATGATGGTATTCATGATTGAATGGAGTAGATAAACTGGCAGAAAACTGGTCAATAAGCCCTACAGATGACACTGGAATCATCGCCGCTCGGATTCTGCCTGGTCATTCTCCGCAGTGAGCCTCTTACCTGAGCTTATTTTTAGCGTTACTGGTATGATTCGGTATACCGGTAATACCATGGTATCAAGTTTTTGTCAAACCATACCAGGTCTTGGCGGTATTTACCATACCAATACCAACTCATACCGGACCATTCCGATCACTGAGCGAGCTAGGGTATCGTCGATGTCGGCGCCGTCCGTGGAAAGGATGGTCCCCTGAGAACCACCCTCAATGTCGTCTAGCATCCGAAGATGCAATAGTTGTTGGGCCTTGGCCGCTGCCTGGACATCGTCTCGAGATATTGGAAATTGGCACAAGGCGTCACCTTGATCATGGGGTATATTCCGGTACAAATCCTCCTGACGTTGCACAAAGGTTGCTCCTCTTCAGCCGGGTTCTCTTCGCACAGATCGCGTATTAAACCTCCAAGGACGGGTGAGTCTTTCGTGGCGTCTGTATCCTGCACGGCATTTCGCAAAATCTGGGTAGAGCTTTGTAGGCCTGACGATGAGCCATCGCTGGAGGCTCCTCTTCGCAGCGGCCAGCGTCAAGTGGGTACTCGACGTCAATTGTGTCGTCGCCCTCCGATCGACTGGCCCAGAGCTTCGCGTCCTTGCGCGCATCCTCGGCAGACTTTCTCAAAAGACAAATATTGGAACATGGAAACGGAGGCGAGGACAAAGCCCCGCTCGATGCCTCGTCCATATGCTGGTTATATCGCCTTGGCTCTCAGAAATGAAGTTTTCCCAAGGGACGAATAACGCCAAATGTAGGACAGAATTTCTGCACAGGTAGTCAGACGGAGCCAAAAATGGTGCCGGGGGGTTAGAGCGTACCGCTTAACATACACTGGGTGATCGTCCTCATGGTCGTCGCTGATGTATCCTTGGAAGATCGGGACGGCGTACTGGTCGGGCCGTCGAAGCTTTTGCATCCAGCCGTCACGGTCGGAGCCCTGCCCATCGAGAAAAATGCGAGACTCATCTTCACTCGGACCATTTCGACGCACCAAGTGAACCATTGACATGTAGTCATACAGGCATAAGTCTTGTAGAACATGACCGCGGTAGGCGTACACATCTAGGCATAGAAGGTTCGCCCTCCTTGCCTCAGAGGATGGTCTCCGGGGCTGTTCGGCGTCCGTGAGCTCGCCGGCCTGATGGCGGAGATGCGCCCATAGCCGAAAGATTGTCCAGTAGAGCGCCGTCAGGTTCAGGAAAGACCAATGCGGCACGTTGGTAAAGTCGGTGTCATATCCAAGTAGATGGTAACAGACCTCCACAGCCGAGAGTTGTCGCTCGGAGAAGATCCGATTTGCCGTTCTCATCAGGAACTGACGGCTTTCATTCAAAACTACCTGCTGCCTGTCGTCGGGCAGGGTGGGACCTGGCGTGCGAAGCCTCGTACCACCGGCTTCGCGAAGTTGGCGGGCAACCTCGGCGGCAAGAGCAATGCGTTTCCACATCGGCGTTTCCAGTTTGGTGGCGTAGTTCGTGATGTAGTACACCATGGCCAGGCCCTTGGTTTTGGTCAAGATCATCGAGACGTCGTGATTATGGCGAAGGCCGACCGCCAATGACTTGTTATACCGATTGACGAGTGGGTGGTTGCGCCGGATCTGAAGCAGGCCGTCCTCTGTGAACCCCGTCTCGTCGACGATTTTCCAAGGTGCTTTGAAGCGGCAGGCTGTCCGTCTCTGTGGATCTGTACCCTGTTCGACGATCCCCTTGAGAGAATACTTGAGGCAGGTGTACGTGTGGGAGTGCACTTGGCAACAGTACGCGATGAAGTTGGATTCGTCGTCGAAGGCCGCAGTGAGAGCCGAGGTGCTAGCCATGACCTCCTCCACGGGGTGGATGGGCTTCCTCTCCTGTCGCACGGCTTTCCCGGCATCTTCATCTAGACACTCATGAAAGACGGAGTCTACGTATCGGATCACCTGGGCACGATATGCTTCTTCCGCGGGATTGGCCATGTCGCCTATCAGGTTCGGTAACCGCATGTTGCCGTCCAGCCAGAGAAGTCCATGCAAGTGGAGGCTGCCTCGCTCGTTCGTTTCCACCGTGGCGTAGTAGTGGCTAATCTTCCCGAATACCGACTCCTGGCCCGCATTGACGTACTTTTCAAAGAATAAGGATACTTCCCGATGGAAGAAGATGGCCGAGCTAACTGGATCCATGGTGCTGAGGGCGATTCTGTCGTACTTTTCATGGAGATCGGCCAAAAGTTCCTTTGCAGACTCATAATCGTGGAGCCTATGAATGGCAAGCTTCATCTTTACCGGATTATTAATGTCGTTAGGACTGATAGTAATCCAGATTGCAGGCATACCGGCGCGGATGTCTAGAGCTTGTATCTTCCTCCGCATAAGTAAACGGGATTCGTTCGAGAGCGGCTGTGCATAGCCAAAGATCGACAGCTCGCGAAGCAAGACCGATATGTCGGGGTCCGACGTTGTCCTTGTCTCCCGCATCTCCGCCTCGGCCCTCTTCAGCCGGTCCTCGGTCAAGTTCGCATAGGCTTGCTCAAGTCTGTGGAAGGAATCTTTAGCGACACGGACCATGCTGATGCGGCGGTTGGAGGAGCGAAGGAGGGTGTTGAATACCAAGAAACAAAAGACAGGATGGGCGGCGAATCGGCCACCATGCCGTTGCAATACGTATCTGGTCCAGTACTGGAGAGAGTGATTCGGACGATGGTCGGGAGTGTCGCTTTGTCGGCTATGACTCGAGTCGCCCTTCGATTTCGGGCCGCCCCTTCCCCACGGAAAAAGCTTCGGAAATGTTCGAGGGAAGAAATCTTCGTGCAGGTTGTCTGCAAAATCCGCACCACGCTCCACTCGGACGAACGGCTGGTCTCCCGTAGTCTGGACCTGCATAACGCACGGCACAGAGATGCCATGTCGGTCCGGATTGGTGTTGACGATGTCGGCCAGAAACGACAGTTTATCGGTCTCCGCGAAGGCAGCCGGTCCATCGAGAGGAAACATGCCGGACGTCGACGTCTCACAGACGGTGTCAACTTCCAGGCCGACGGCAGCCGAGTCGGGGACAGGAGTCGCCGGGTCACCAGGGAAGGGTTGAGTCTGGTCAGTCGACAGAGTACGGTCGAAATCGCAAGATTCAGCGTCGAAAGGAGGATCGATCGAGTTCACGAGATCATCGATACTTCTGAAGCTACTTTCCTCCAAGCCTCGATCAGTATCCGGGACTATGTGGTCCGTTTGTGTCTTCTCAACGGTCGACGGTTCCTCTCTTCGCATGCGGTCCATGATGAGAGTCGGAACACTGGAGCCGTCGGCATACTGCCAGCCGTCTATCTCTGCTTGGTTGATCGCGATATCCTCGTAAAGCGGGTTGTTCCTCTGCAGCCATGCCAGGGCAGCTGCCACTCGAGATCTGCGCACCTGAAGCAGGTGTCTGACGTCTGCGGAGCCAGGCTTAGCCGAACCGCTCCAAGAGACGTGGATGTTCTCAATGGCCTGCAGTAAGGGATGGGGAAGAACCGTGGCCACAAGATCGTCCACCTTGTTCGGAAAGACGACGATATGTCCTTTCACGTGCTTGCGGTAGCTAATTCCCGAACAGGTCTTGTTGTCGACTGTGAACTTGGTGATATAGCCAAAGGGCGCATGCAAGGCAATGAGTCTCTCCTCAACGGAGAGAGGTCATCAAGCTCGCCAGGGTACCGATGTTCGCAACCGATGGCCATATTGTTGACCGAGCAGGCTTTAGGCAGCCGTCCACCGTCGAAGCTGGCGCGACACTCGCGGCATACGTCAACTCCCGCGCGCTCGTGCGGCGGAAGGCAAGCGTCACACTTCTGGATGGTCCTGGTCGCCTGCAGCAGGGAGGTGACAATCGACTCCTCCACTGCATGGTTGAGAGCTCGCAAGGTGGGGCCTTTCTATAGCAGAAGACGCAGTGAGAAATCGGCAACGTCCTCTCATCCGTAAACGCCTGGTAGAACGATCTAGGAGCTGCTACCTGAAGGGCAAGTGGAACTTCGTTGCACCAGGATCTTGTTGACGATGCCTGCTCTTTAGAGCGGAAACAGGCGTCATAGTGATGTAAGGTAGACTTGACAGAGTCTCGCTGGAGTTGAACGGTTTCTCGCGTAGGCCCGGGCCTCGTGGGGAAGCGCCCGTCCGCGTGAGCGATGAAGGGCGAAGCGATTGTTCCGCTCTGGATCGACTCGGGGATGGAGAGGCTGGCGTCTGCATGTGACTTTTAAAGGAGCGCTTTGGCTGCGTGGGGGTGGAGTGGAGGTGTCTCCTCTTCTGTGTCGTTTCGGTGATGGAGCGGCCGGCGGCTGCGTGTGTCTTTGGAGGAGCGCCTTAGCTGCGTGGGTGGTGGAGTGGGGGTGCTTGCCCTCTCTAGGTCGTCTCGGTGATGCAGTCGCTGGCGGCTGCGTGTGTCTTGTAGGAAGTGTTTTGGCTGCGTTGGGGTGGAGTGGAGGCGCTTGCTCTTCTCGGGGTCGTCTCGGGGATGGGTTGTTCGGCTGCTGCGTGTGCGGTATATTGGAATTGAGCTTCACGGTGGCGGCTTCGTTCTTCAGCGCGCTGGCGGTCCATATCGTGCAAGACGCGGAGGATCTCGTCGTGGGGAACCCTAATAAGCGGTGAAGGTCGCTGATAGGAACGGCGCTGCTGGGATCTCTGCGATTCAAGATCACCCAAAGTGCGGCGAACCTCCTCGGGTGAGATTTTGACTGGATGTTCTCGCGGCATGGTGCACGGGGATGGCTGTGAACAATTGCTACGAGAAAGGAGAGTTGGCGGAGCGATTAGGTCAAGGTCAAGACCTTTTGCCCCCGCCGGCCGGGGAGGGGCCCCTCCCCGGGACCCCCGGGAGTGGGCCCGGAGCGGGCAACAAGAACAGGAAGTTGGTGGGGACAGTACAGGTGGCGGTGAAGAGTGGCTGGAGGGCACGGAGCGGCATACAGGAGACCGGCCCCTTCCAGGGTCCGCCAATGCCTTGAGGAACAGGAGACCGGCCCCTTCCAGGGTCCGCCAATGCCTTGAGGAACGGGACGAGAGTTGGGCGTAGTCAAAGCGCGAGCATTCGGGTTGGTTTTTGGAAAGGCACAACAAGTCTGGTGGTAGTGCGGCTGCAGCACCTTACCCGTTTAAGCCTAAGCTAGCCCTCCCTGCGGCATAAAATGAGCTTCAATTATGCGGTCTTTTTCAGAAAGCAATTCTTCAACGATTTGGTCATCGGAATTAGGTCATCATGGCCCTCGAGTGCAATAGCTGCAAGAAGTCGCCGCCTGAAGTCGCCCTCAAGAGGTGCGCGAAATGTTCCACAACGCCGTACTGCTCCAGGGATTGCCAGAAGGCAGACTGGAAGGTCCATAAGAAGGTTTGTGGCAAACAGGCCGACGCCACGACATCGTTTCAAGATGGGCCTACAACGGCAAAGTTATCGCCTCCGAAGGGTTGGAACAGGGCGTCATCCGCCCCTTCACGCGTCTTGAAAATCGCACTTGGCTGCATGATCGATCGGAAAGAGATGTCTACGGGCTGCTGATCGACGCCTACCGACTGCGCGTTGAGGATATGTACAACATTGAAGGCGAAGCAGACGCGGATAGCATATATGGTGGTGCCGCCAATGGGCTGCGTGGCTTCAAGCGCTTCCTGGAGCGCGTCGAGCGTTGTCCCGCGTTACTGCCGCCGTGGTGGGATGCAAAGAAGAAGAAAGAGTGCGAGACACTCGGTATGACCCCATCGCAATGGCACGACCTACGAAGCGCGGTGGAAAGAGCGCATCATCGAGCATTATGGGGATTCCCGATTCCCGATGCAGCTTCGGATGTTTGCTGAGTCCGTGTACGGTCGAGCTCCGGGCGGGACAAGCGGGACGGGGATGAGGCAAATGATGGCCGCGATGGAGCAGGGTAAAGCAGAGGGGATGAAGTCGCATATGATGGACATGTCAGCAGCCATGCTTGGTCGGCGGTGAAGGGATAGCTATTTTCGAAACTATGGTCCTCGTATAACCGTCTCGTTTCTGCGGCCAAGTTCTTGAGTCTCTGCATTCCATCAAGTATGGCCTGATCCAGCCCATTGCCAATGAAATCATGGTACCTCACGGGACCAAGAAGCGATGCCCCGAAGCGAGGTGCACCTGGACAGTTGGACGTAGAGGCTCGTAAAATCGCACTTGGAGGGTTCACCATTGATCACACGATTTCCACGCAGCTCCAACAGTACTTCGACGAACGTTTTACCCTGGGCTTTGTAATCAGTGAGAACGAACGCTGGTACAACGGGCAGTCCACGTCGCGTGCATCTTGCGGACAAGAACTTGAAGTGAGAGTTAGTCGAGTCAAGTATATGTGACATGGGGCGGATGAGTACCGTCCCCACAGGGAGGACGGTATCGCCAAGGCTTTCGTCTCCTCGGACTGCAGAAGAATGCCGAGTGGTGGCCCGAAGTGGATGGTCACGTCATCGGCCAAGCAGTATCCCGGGTGATTGGGATCGATTATCACGTCCACGGCGGTAAAGTCGGCCCCATTCACAACCTTCAGGCCAGTGTAGATGTTCTTGTTCACAACCACGGGCATGCCCTGGGCGTAGAAGAAGACGCCGGGGACTTTGCAGGCAGAGTCGTCGCCTTGTCCGACGGTTCGCGCTACGATGTCTGGAGAAAGCGCGCCGCTACGCCAGGTGTGAGTCGAGACAAAGATACGGATGTGCCGCTTGTTGAAGCGCGCCCAGCCCACAACAGCTTCCATGTTGAGGGCCCACCGGGTGCAGTTCAGCGGCGTTATAGCGCGCAAACCATCGTGGAAGGTGATTTGCGAGCGTCCTACAATGTTGGCGTTGAGCAAGCTCAGATCTTGATGGGTCTGGCGCCCGTTACGAACTCGATCCAGGAGTGCACGGAGTTGGGGATCGTTGCGTGCGCGGACTTGGTCTTCGAGGAGCACCACGGTTTTGAACAGATGCCACAATCTGCAGCCGCTGTGGTGAGAGATGGTCGCCTGTCGCAGGGGGGTCTCTGTTCGGTCCGGCGGTCTGATGATCAGTAGGCTTGTTTCCCGCACGGGGGCGAACTGGTAGAAGTCTCCCATCAGTAGGACGACGGGCATGCCGCCAAACGGTTCGTCCGGACAGTCACGGAGTGCCTGCAGGTGACGACTGACGTTGTGCAGAGTGGCTCCTCCCAGCATGCTGACCTCGTCAATCACGAGTACCAGCTTCTGTTTCCAGATCCACTTCTTCGCCTCCGAGAAGGGGAGGCGGTTTGTTTGGATCGCGATGGAATCTAACCCACAGGCCGAGTGGATGGTCGTGCCGCCAATATGGGCCGCCGAACTGCCCGACGTGCCGGTTATCTGCAGAAGATGCGGCTGGTTCCTCGCCGCGAACACGCCCTTCAGGGCATCGATAATCCTCGACTTTCCCGTGCCACCTGGCCCGCCGGTGTATTGAAGATGCTGACCGGCTGAGTCCGGGTTGGCAGTATACTTGTCCAGAAACAGGCAAACGAGTTGAAGGGCCATGGTCTGTAGATAGTTCAGTGTAAAGCTGGCCGCGGCGGTGTGTCCAATCTCCGCGAAGCTAGTTGCCGGACTGACGTCGACAAGCATCCGAGGCCCTTGTTCATTGAGGTCACTGCCCGGGAGCGCAGCGGCGGACTCCATATCGCCGTAGCGAGCAAGGGTATCGTCAATGTCGGCGCCATTCGTGGATAGTACGGTGCCCTGAGAACCACCCTCAATATCGTCCAGCATCCGAAGATGCAATAGTTGTTGGGCCTTGGCCGCTGCTTGGACATCGTCTCGAGATATGGGGAATTGACACAAGGCGTCACCTTGATCATCGGGCATATTCCGGTACAGATCCTCTTGACGTTGGACGAAAGGTTGCTCTTCTTCAGCCGGGTTCTCTTCGCACAGATCGTGTATTAGACCTCCAAGGACGGGTGAGTCTTTGTGGCGTCCGTATCCTGCACGGCATTTCGCAAAATCTGGAGCAGAGCTTTGTAGGCCTGACGATGAGCCAGCGCTGGAGGCTCTTCTTCATCGCGGCCGTCGTCAAGTGGGTACTCGACGTCAATTGTGTCGTCGCCCTCCGACCGACTGGCCCAGAGCTTCGCGTCCTTGCGCGCGTCTTCGGCAGATTTTCTCAAAAGACCAATGTTGGAGACATGGAAACGGAGGCGGGGACAAAGCCCCGATCGATGCGTCGTCCATATGTCGGTTATGTCGCCTTGGCTCTCAGAAATAAACTTCTCCCAAGGGACGAATAGCGCCAAGTGTAGGACCGAATTTCTGCACGGGCTATCAGATAGAGCCAAAACGGTGCCGGGGGGTTTAGAGCGTACCGCTTAATATAGACTGGGTGATCGTCCTCATGGTCGTCGCTGATGTATCCTTGGAAGATCGGGATGGCGTACTGGTCGGGCCGTCGAAGCTTTTGGATCCAGTCGTCACAGTCGGAATCCTGGCCATCGAGAAAAATATGAGAGTCGTCTTCACTCCGACCTTTTCGACGCACCAAATGAATCATTGACATGTAGTCATACAGGCATAAGTCTCGTAGAACATGGCCCCGGTACGCATACGCGTCTAGGTATAGAAGGGTTCGCCCTCCTTGCCTCAGACGGATTGTCTCCGCGGGCTGTTCAGCGTCCGTCAGCTCGCCGGCCTGATGGCGGAGATGTGACCATAGCCGAAAGATTGCCCAATAGAGCGCCGTCAGGTTCAGGAAAGACCAATGCGGCACGTTGGTAAAGTCGGTATCATATCCAAGGAGGTGGTAACAGACCTCTACGGCCGAGAGTTGTCGCTCGGAGAAGATCCGATTTGCCGTTCTCATCAGGAATTGACGGCTCTCGTTCAACACTGCCTGCTGCCTGTTGTCGGGCAGGGCGGGATCTGGTGCGCGAGACGTCGGACGACCGGCTTCGCGGAGTTGGCGGGCAACAAATGCGCCTCCACATCGGCGTATCCAGTTTGGTGGCGTAGTTCGTGATGTAGTACACCATGGCCAGGCCCTTGGTTTTGGTCAAGATCATCGAGACGTCGTGATTGTGGCGAAGGCCGACCGCCAATGACTTGTTATACCGGTTGACGAGCGGGTGATTGCGCCGGATCTGAAGCAGACCATCCTCTGTGAACCCTGTCTCCTCGACGATCTTCCACGGTGCCTTGAAGCGGCAGGCTGTCCGTCTCTGTTGATCTGCCCCTGTTCGATGACACCTTCAGAGAATACTTGAGGCAGGTGTACGTGTGAGTGCACTTGGCAACAGTACGCGATGAAGTTGGATTCGTCTTCGAAGGCCGCAGTGAGAGCCGAGGTGCTGGTCATGACCTCCTCCACGGGATCGATGGGCTTCCTCTGTTGTCGCACGGCTTTTCCGGCATCTTCGTCTAAACACTCATGAAAGACAGAGTCCACATACCGGATCACCTGGGCACGGTATGCTTCTTCCGGGATTGGCCATGTCGTCCATCAGGTTCGGTAACCGCATGTTGCCCTCCAGCCAGAGGAGTCCATGCAAGTGGAGGCTGCCTCGCTCATTCGTCTCCACCGTGGCGTAGTAGTGGCTAATCTTCCCAAAGATCGATTCCCGGCCTGTATTCACGTATTTGTCAAAGAATAGGGATATTTCTCGGTGGAAGAAGATGGCCGAGCTGACCGGATCCATGGTGCTGAGGGCGATTCTGTCGTACTTTTCACGGAGATCGGCCAAAAGCTCCTTTGCAGAGTCATAATCGTGCAGCCTATGAATGGCAAGCTTCATCTTTATCGGATTATTAATGTCGTTGGGACTGATGGTAATCCAAACTGCAGGCATACCGGCCCAAATGTTAACAGCTTGTATCTTCCTCCGCATAAGCAAACGGGATTCGTTCGAGAGCGGCTGTGCGTGGCCAAAAATCGACAGCTCGCGAAGCAAGACCGATATGTCAGGGTCCGACGTGGTCCTTGTCTCCCGCATCTCCGCCTCGGCTCTCTTCAGTCGGTCCTCGTTCAAGTTCGCATACGCTTGCTCGAGCCTGTGGAAGGAATCTTTAGCGACACGGACCATGCTGATGCGGCGGTTAGAGGAGCGAAGGAGGGTGTTGAATACTAAGAAACAAAAGACAGGATGGGTGGCGAATCGGCCTCCATGCCGTTGCAATACGTATCTGGCCCAGTAGCTAAGCGAGTGATTCGGACGACGGTCGGCAGCGTCGCTTTGTCGGCTACGACTCGAGTCGCCCTTTGATTTCGGGCCGCCCTTCCCCACGGAAAAAGCTTGGGAAATGTTCGAGGAAGAAATCTTCGTGCAGGTTGTCTGCAAAGTCCGCACCACGTTCTACTCGGACAAACGGCTGATCTCCCGTAGTTTGGACCTGCATAACGCATGGTATAGAGCGGCCACGTGGATCCGGATTGGCGTTGGCCATGCCCGCCACAAACGACAGCTTATCGGTATCCGCAAAGGCAGCCGGTCCATCAAGAGGAACATGGCGGATGCAGACGTCTCACATATGGTTTCAACTTCCTGGCCGATGGCAGCCGAGTCGGGGACAAGAGGCGCCAGCTCACCAGGAGAGGTCGAGTCTGCTCAGTCGATAGAGTACAGTCCAAGTCGCGAGACTCGTCGACGAAGGTGCCATCGATCGAGCTCACAAGTTCATCGATGCTTCTGAAACTGTTTTCCTCAAGCCTCGATCAGTGTCCGGGACTATGTGGTCAGTTTGAGTCCTCTCAACGGTCGACGGTTCCTCTCTCTGCATGCGGTCCATGATGACGGTCGGAACAGTGGAGCCGTCGGCATACCGCCAGCCATCCATCTCTGCCTGGTCGATTGCGATATTCTCGTAAAGTGGGTTGTTCCTTTGCAGCCACGCCAGGGCGGCCGCCACTCGAGATTTGCGCACCTGAAGCAGGTGTCTGACGTCTGCGGAGCCAGGCTTAGCCGAACCGCTCCAAGAGACGTGGATATTCTCAATGGTCTGCAGCAAGGGATGGGGAAGAACGGTGGTAACAAGATCGTCCACCTTGTTCGGAAAGACGACGATATGTCCTTTCACGTGCTTGCGGTAGCTGATTCCCGAACGGGTCTTGTTGTCGACCGTGAACTTGGTGATATAGCCAAAGGGCGCATGCAGGGCAATGAGTCTCTCCTCAACGGGAGAGGTCATCAAGCTCGCCAGGGTACCGATGTTCGCAACCGATGGCCATATTGTTGACCGAGCAGGCTTTGGGCAGCCGTCCACCGTCGAAGCTGGCGCGACACTCGCGGCATACGTCAACTCCCGCGCGCTCGTGCGGCGGAAGGCAAGCGCCACACTTCTGGATGGTCCGGGTCGCCTGCAGCAGGGAGGGCGACAATCGACCCCTCCACTGCATGGTTGAGAGCTCGCAAGGTGGGGTCTTTCTATAGCAGAAGACGCAGTGAGAAATGGGCAACGTCCTCTCGTCCGTAAACGCCTGGTAGAACGATCTAGGAGCTGCTACCTGAAGGGCACGTGGAACTTCGTTGCACCAGGATCTTGTTGACGATGCCTGCTCTTTAGAGCGGAAACGGGCGTCATGGTGATGGCGCAGACTCGACAGAGTCTCGCTGGAGTTGGACGGTTTCTTGCGTAGGCCCGGGCCTCGTGGGGAAGCGCCCCGTCCGTGGGCGATGAAGGGCGAAGCGGTTGTTCCGCCCTGGATCGACTCGGTGATGGAGAGGCCGGCGTCTGCGTGTGTCTTTTGGAGGAGCGCGTTGGCTGCGTGGGGTGGAGTGGGAGGTGTCTCCTCTTCTCTGTGTCGTTTCGGCGATGGAGCGGCCGGCGGCTGCGCGTGTCTTTGGAGGAGCGCCTTAGCCGCGTGGGAGGTGGAGTGGAGGTGATAGCCCCTCTCTGGGTCGTCTCGGTGATGCAGTCGCTGGCAGCTGCGTTTGTCTTCTAGGGAGTGTTTTGGCTGCGTTGGAGGTGGAGTGGAGGCGCTTGCTCTTCTCGGGGTCGTCTCGGGGATGGGTTGTTCGGCTGTTGCGTGTGTGCGGTATATTGGAATTGAGCTTCACGGCGGCGGGATCGTTCTTCGGCGCGCTGGCGGTCCATATCGTGCAAGACGCGGAGGATCTCGTCGTGGGAACCCTGATAAGCGGTGAAGGTCGTTGATAGGAACGGCGCTGCTGGGATCTCTGCGATTCAAGATCACCCAAAGTGCGGCGAACCTCCTCGGGCGAGACCGTGACGGGGTGTTCTCGTGGCATGGTGCACGGTGATGGCTGTGAACAATCGGTACGAGAGGAGAGTTGGCCCCGGAGAGTGGGACCGGGGCGGGAGCAGGACGGGAACGGGCAGCAGGAACAGGAAGGTTGGTGGGGAAAAGAACAGGTGGCGGTGAAGAGTGGCTGGTGGGCACGGAGCGGCATGCGGTCCGTGCGTAGGGGTAGAGGATGTGGAGGTGTGGCGAAGGACGCGGAAGGAAGAACCTTTCGTTCCTCAAGGCATACGGAGGGCGGAAGAAGGATCCTTTCGTCTCTTCGTTCCTCAAGGCATTGCGTTGCCGCCTTGTGCATTTGCCGGAGGGTGACTGGCGTGCCGAACGGTGAAGACAGGAGGGCCGGATCCAATTCAGGGGTAGGTGTACGAGCTTTGCGTGCTTTCATGACGGCCAGGACCACCTCTTGGTTGAATGGCACTATTCCAGTCTTCCGAAACGCAGAAATGATGGTCAATTGACGAAAGGCTTGCTTCCGGACGTCCTGAATGAAGTCCAAGAACTCCAATTTGGTGATATCTGTGCAGCCGTCACGAACCACTAGGTCTACCGCCTTTGCGTGATAATGCTTGAGCGGCTGAAAGACTACCACATCCAGTGGTTGAAGAAGGTGTGTTAAATGAGGAGGTAAAGAGAAGGGTATAATACCGCGGCGCCCACAGTACTCGATAAACGGGTATGTATGGTGTGAACCGAATCCATCGAGTAGAAGTAGCCGCTTGTTGCCTTTGGTCTTGTTTTTCGTGTGCTCGTCGAAATGATAGATCCACTCCAAGCAGATCTCGTCGTTACTATACCCAGTTGGTGACATCGCAATGCGTGTGTCTGGGTAGTGCTTCATGACTTCGTACCATCGAGCTTGATGTTGGATACCACAGAGCACCAAGAAGGCTGGTAAGACTCGCCCACCGGCCGAGATGCACTCAATGGCCGTAGCTGACTCCCTGTTACCAGGAGTGCCGAAGTAATGGGCTTTCTTGCGCTGTGACGACCAATTGGTCTTTCCCAACGATACGAAACCCTGTTTCGTCCATGTTCCAGATGTCGTCTTCCACAATGCCTTCGGATTGCATTACAGCGTGGAGTTTCTTGTACCACTCAATGACTGTAGGGATATCCTCGGCGGCTTGGCGGTTCGATTCCAGCTGCTTTTGGCTCATTAGTAGATATTTATGACGCTTGACGAAGCGGTCGATCCAATGTATGCCCACGGTGGGCGGGTTGCTCTGGCTAGCCTTGCCTGACCGCACCTTGAGAATGCGGTTTGCAGCATCCACAATGAACTCTCTGCGTACGGCTAAATTCACAGCGTCAAGGCGATCGATGTAGCGGCATAGTGCATCTTCTTCTGGCTTGCTCAATTTCGTATTTGTTGGTTGGCGGTCAGTCAAGCTGGTTCGGCCGTCCAGGCGGCTTCGAGTCGGCCACGCGGCACTTCGAATTGACGAGCAACCGTGGTCACCTTTGCAGTGGGATTTTGATCAAGATACTTCTTGGCCTTTTGCACACGAGCCTCCAGAAGCCTGGCCTCTTCGCGACGCATTTTGGTGGTGGTGTTCTGGCTGAAATGTAGAAGGTGTGAAAAAGTGGCTAGGTGGCCAGTCTGGTTAAGTGGCCCGTCAGCACCAGCTTGGCTGGTAGTAGTAGTGGTAGTAGTATTGATTACCGTCTGGGACATCCTATAAGGGCAAAAGACGTGCTAGGCTAGGTATAGTACAAGATGGGGATGCTCGTCGGAGACCGTCGCGCGTTCCTTACTTCTCCCCTATCTAGCAATTCTTGGACTCTGTGGCCGCTCGGATTCTCAGGTCCCTTCCCCCGTCAGCGGGTTCCGGGCACGGCGGCGAAGCCGTAATATTAGTCAGTCTTCGGTCAGAGCCGGGTGACTGAGAAAGCCCACGCAGTCAGCTGGGCCGTAGGCCCACAGGAGCCTACGGGCAGAAAACATAGAAGAGAGAGTTGTACATATTAGGTTGGAGGGTTGCCTCGAGCTAGTGGCGGTGGGAGAGCCGATCAAAGAATTCTGCCTCCGTTACTAGCCCGAGGAACCGGTCAAATCCCTTCCTAGTGCCTGGTTGATAGCCTTGCCCGCGGGGCTGGCCTTAGGCGGTGTCGAGTACCTACCTTCCGCAGTAGAAGGGGTGTGTCGGTGATTTTCTCCTCCCGTAAGAGCATTCGATCCGGGCCTCTTCGTGGTTAAACCTCTCGTGGTAGTCGGCGAAGTCCCCGTGCCCGCTCCTCGCAGCGAGCAGGTGATGGAGGTGCTGTCGTTTGGTGTGCAGCGGCTCCGGGGCACGAGCGAGGCCTTGAGCTCTAGGCTCTTGTAGCTGCTCGGGGCCCCGCGGCCTGAGTCCTGGAAGTCGCGCCTGGCCGCAGCCTTGGCCTGTCTCTTGATGTTCGCGTAGGTCGGCGGTCTGTCCGGACCCTCGGCCCGGCAGCCCTCCTTTGCTGAGCTGGTCGGCCCGCTCGTTGCCGGCGATCCCCGTATGGCCGGGGCACCAACGCGTGCCGACATCTCCGTGTCGAGCCGCGGCCTCAGCGAACTTCTCCGCAGCCGCTTGCGACGAGATCGATGGGCTGCCTCGTATGGCTCTTATAGCCGCAGTGTTATCAAGGCAGACGACACCAGCAGTGTATGTAGTATGTGTATTTCACGGAGGATTTCTCCTATAGGGCCTAGACGTAAAGCTACGACATTTCAATACC